CCCAAATACACTTTTATGCATTTCATTTGTTACACATTTTATCAATGTGTTTGTTGATTTCAAATACCCATCGTTTTAAAGGTTGTTTTCTCATAATGAGTGGTCTCTTCATACATAGCTCTTTATTATGTAGCTACATAGCTATAAAATATTGCATAAAAAATGCAAAGATGCACATCAATTGTAAAATACAAAAACGTACATATTAAAACTTTTTGTTATACTATTTGGTCACACTTTACAATAAGGTTCATTAGTTAATGTTAATTAATCCATTTACTAAGATGGACAAACAATGAACAATACATTTACTACGGTATTTGTTCATGTTACTTAACATTAGTTAATGAAAATACAGTTGTTCATTGTTAGTTCATGTTAACTCATGGTGCATTAACTAATTTTACCAAGCATGGACTTAAATGTTAATAATGCATTAGTAAATGTTCAATTATGATTAAAAAATGCTGTACATGTGTTGTTCATGATTGGTTCATGTTAGTAAATGCATTAACTAATGAACCCTTTTGTAAAGTGTTACCTAATATTTTTACATAACTATACGTGGATGTAGTTTTTATTCAATAATAACAAATGCACAAACTAAAATAGACACCCATTTACAAAATAAATTCCAGCATATGGGGCAAAAAAAGCCATGTGATGTTTTATTTTAAGATATCATGGGATGACAAAAATAGGTGCAATGAGACAGCAATAATGGACAAACTGGCAGACTCACAACATTATAAAACATTTCAAATGTTGTTTTGGAAATTGTAAAAACAAAGTGGTTCAGTATTATTATGTCACGCCTCTAAAAACCATTGTGCGATCATTGCTTTCTTCTACCGCTGCAAATTTTTATTTTTGATATTTAGTTTATCAAGAAGTGCTGATTTTGTTCTATGTGACTCATTGGATGGAAAAGGTGCTTTATTTGTAAACGTTTTATGCAATGTTCTAGTTCTTTGAATAGAAACACAGCTAATCTCCACTTCAATAGTGCTTACAAGCATCTAAGCGAAGAGTTTATTCAATCTTTTTTTTTTCGTTTTTGGCAATTTTTAGAAGTAAAAAAACATTTTCTGTTTGCTAGTGATAAAATATGATTCCTAACATCTTATCTCTCAATACCTCTGACACAAATATAAATAATGAAAAAGCAGAACAAGAATTTTGAACCCGACTAGGCTAGAAATGCATGCAAATTAAACCTACTGTGCATATTTGATCAACATTTTAGAAAACTTGTAATACAAAATAAATGTAATCAATAAACTAATTAAATATGGTGATAAATATATTATATACTGTTTGTACCCTATTGACCTGCAGTGTCTTGCCTTTAGAAAAGCTCCTAATTGGAGGAGCTCCGTCTCCATACTTTTGACGCCATTCTCTACTCATCAAGTATGCAGCTAATAGCAGCGTTAATGAAGGGCTGGATGGAAAGCCTGCAGGGTGATGGGGAGGATCTGGCCGGCTGTGGCTTTTGTCCAATGCCCTTCTAGCACGGGCCACAGAGGTGTGAGCATGTAAGGGCAACAAGGGCTGGCTGTTGGTGCCGGAAGTGAGCTATTTTTACAACTAATCAACACTTGCGCCATTCAGCCCTGCATTTCTGATCAGCATTCAGGTTGCTGAGTTGCAGTTGCTGAAAAGCGAGTGTTAAGCAAAGGACACTTTTAATGATACATGATGAGTGTGTGCGTGCGTGTGTGTGTGTCTGACTAGGCAATTTATGAACCAGTAGATTTATTTTAAAATATTCAAACATGAGAGGTGACTACAGTCAGAAAGAATGCTTGTTAGAAACTCTTACATTTTCTTTTCTGGGTCCAACACAATAAAATGAATGTATTGACTATGAATGTAAAACTAAATACGCTTTCACTTGTCTGAGAACATTTTTAGTAGTGTTAAACAGCTAAAAATATTTCAGATTTAATAAAAGTGGCAGTAAAAAGATATTTTATGCTTTAAAAAACATCTATTTTAAATGCATCTTTAAATGTTATTAACATAATTCAAATGTTATCACTCAATTTAATGGGCATCAATGGTTATCAGCTGATAGATATGGGCCAGTAGGGGCCTTCTGCGCCTACTGGTAGGCTCAGAAGGCTGTTATCATCCATTCACATGGTTACTCAGCTATACTGATATAGAAGACTGCAGATTCAGATCTGTTTTTACATTACTGTGATGGTTGGGGTTAGGGTTGGGGTTAGAGTAGACCAGGAGTCACCAACATGGTGCCCGTGGGCACCAGGTAGCCCGCCAGGTTCACATGAGTTGCCTGCGGGCCTGTTCTAAAAACAGCTCACCATAGCGCCACATATAAGTAAGCTGCATCTAATATTTTTATAGGTATTCTTTTTAAATCACACTTGCATTGGTGTAAATTTGAAAATTACTTTAATTTATATATTTAAAAAAAAAAACTTTAAAAACAATTTCAGACAAATGAAGTGTTGCATATTGATATTTATCTAACTTGTTAAATCATTGTTGACAACTACTGTGAGAAATCATTAATATGATCAATGTCTTCACATAGATGAATATTATTCATTATTATTAATAACATATAATTAAAAGTAAATTAAGAAAAATGTTATTTAATAACTGGTAGCCCTTCACACTAATCGGTACCTAAGAAGCAGCTCTCAGTTTCCAAAAGGTTGGTGACCCCTGGAGTAGACTTTAATAAAATATAATTATTGGGAAATATATTAAATGATATCAATAATTCAAGTTAATTTCTGGCCGCAGCCGTATGAGATCTACAGCTGAATAACCATGTGGATGAATGATAACAGCCTTATGAGCCTACCAGTACGCGCAGAAGGCCCCTATTGGCCCATATTTATCAGCAACTAACCACTGATGATGCCCATTCAATAGAGTGATAACATTTGAATAGGCTGATCTTCCTTATAGGTTGTGCGGTATTTTAATATAAATAGATAACTTTTTATTAACAGCTGATTTGAAATGTTCTAATGTTTGATATTAGCTTTACAATGCATTCAGAAAGTATTCATAGCGCTTCATTTTTTCCCACATAATTTTTTTATGTTACATCTTTATTCCAAAATGCATTAAAATCATTTATTTCCTCAAAATTCTACACAAAATATCCCATAATGACAATGTGAAAAAAGATTTTTTTTTAATTGTTCCAAAAATAATTAAAAATAAAAAACCTGATAGATCACATGTATATACGTATTTACAGTATTCACATAATTTTTGCTCAATACTTGGCAGCTATTACAGCCTCTGTAGTCTTTTTGAATATGATGCCACAAGCTTGGCACACCTGTCATTTTGGAATTTTTACCTATTCCTTTTTGCAGTACCACTCAAGCTCTATCAGGTTGGATGGAAAGTGACGATGTACAGCCATTTTCAGAGCTCTAGATGATGTTCAATAGGATTTAGGTATGGGCTCTGGCTGGGCCACTCAAGGACATTCACCAAGTTGTTGTGAAGCCACTCCATTGATATTTTGACGGTGTGCTTTGGGTCATTGTCCTGCTGGAAGATGAACAGTTGCCCCAGTCTGAGGGACGAATTTTGTTTCTTATGGTCCGAGAGTCCTTCAGATGCCTTTTGGGAAATTCCAGGCAAGGAGTGTCTTCCGTCTGGCCACTCTACCATACAGGCCTGATTGGGGGATTGCTGCACAGATGTCATTCTGTAAGGTTCTTCTCTCTCCACAGAAGAATGCTGGAGCTCAGACAGAGTGACCATTGGGTTTTTGATCACCTCCCTGACTAAGGCCTTTCTCCCTCCCAATCACTCAGGTTAGATGGCCGGCCAGCTCTAGGAAGAGTCCTGGTGGTTCCAAACATCTTCCATTTACAGATGATGGAGGCCACTGTGCTCATTGGAACTTTCAGAGCAGCAGAAATTTTTCTGTAACCTTAACCAGCCTTGTGCATCAAGATAAACCTGTCTCGGAGGTCTACAGACAATTCCTTAGTCTTCATGCTTGGTTTGTGCTTTGACATGCACTGTCAACCCTGGCACCTTATATAGACAGGTGTATGCCTTTTCAAATCATGTCCAATCAACTGAATTTACCACAGGTGAACTCTAATTAAGCTGCTACAACATCTCAAGAATGATCAGTGGAAACAGAATGAACCTTAGCTCAATTTAGAGCTTTAAGGCAAAGGCTGTGGATACTTATGTACATGTGATTTTTCAGGGTTTTTTATTTTTAATAAATTTGCAACAAATGTTTTTTTTTTCCACATTGTCATTATGGGGTATTGTGTGTAGAATTTTGAGGAAATAAATTAATTTAAATTTTCCCAGAGATGGGTTGTGGCTGGAAGGGCATCCGCTGCGTAAAAACATGCTGGATAGGTTGGCGGTTCATTCCGCTGTGGAGACCCCGGATTAATAAAGGGACTAAGCCGAAAAGAAAATGAATGAATGAATGAATGAATGAAACAAAAATGCCCCCCACCAATTTAAGTTTAAGACCCCTGGTTTAAAGAATAAACTAAATTTATGGTTTACTCAAACACAAATCTATAATGCTGTAGCTCCAAATAGAGGATAAAAATGCAAATTAACATACTAAAATATGGTTTTCAAGACAAACAAAAACAAAAAAAACATTAAAAACTCAAGCATATAGCACTTTTAGCTAACAAACCTAGCAAAACCTCAGTCCAAAAACAGTCCAAACCAACTGCGGCCTATTTGGGGTTTGGAAATGGAGGCAGGCCAGTGAATGGTATGAATCCAGGCCACCTCCCGCATCTATGGGGGGCTCACCGCTTCCCTGCCTGAGCTTGGCAACACATCACTGACTTGCACACGCAAAACACACACACTACACACACTCTACACACGGCCGCTTTAGCCACAGCTGTCAATCACGCCGCCCCGCGTCGACTCAGACTTACTGGTGTGCAAATGGGCGCTTCTTTCAGGAGTCGGACTGTGTGTGTGTGTGTGTGTGTGTGTGTGCTTACCGCTATCCTCTGAAGTCTCCTGGGCGAGAGGCTTTTAGTGCTGGTGGGAGAACCTTCACAGTATGGGCTTTCCTCCTCTTCAGTGTCCTGCCGGCAAGCCAAAAGACAAGAGAGAGAGCTGAGAAATAGAGCACAGTGCTGGCTTAACATGTACGCAGTCTAATCACAAGCAAGTCCAAGTTCCTTAAAAGATCTTGTTTTAATGCGAAGGTGGAATAAAATAATTTGAATAGGAATATGTGTGATCAGGAGTTCCTTGCTCAGATTTCAATCATGTCAGTCGGGCCATTTTGGTAAAATTTCTTCCAATGCCTTACTATTGGGATCTTTCCTGCTATTCGCAGTCTAATGCTGGGTACACACCAAACTTGAAGCACTGCATCAATTGCTCTCGAGTACTCAAGGGATGTTTTTTACCTTACAGAACTTTTGCACTTTTTGAAGTTGTGCGGAGTCAAGATTGAGGTGAATTCTGTGTGCTCGTAGCAAAGGTGTCATGGATTCCTTGTTATTGCGCCACCCAGTGGAAATTTGCCACTCTTCGCATTTAATTTCGCATAATAAAATTAGCATTTTGTTGTGAACCCAGTACACTACCTGACAAAAGTCTTGTCGCCTATCCAAGTTTTAGGAACAACAAGTAATAGCTATATATCTAGTTGATCTTTTGGTATCAGAAGTGTCTTATATGAAAAGGCAAAGGCCTCTAGATTACGCTTATTTTTTCCAAAATAAAATATGATCATGCCTTGATTTTTAATTATTTAATTAGGACAGCACAGTCTGACTTTGCTAAGACAAAAGTCTTGTCACTTCACATAAATAATGTACAGTATAGAATATAAAGTTATGGTGCAGTGGGAAAATAATTAATATTGTGTATGACTCCCATGAGCTTGGAGGACTGCATCCACACATCTCTACAATGATTCAAATCACTTATTAATAAAGTCATCTGGAATTGCAAAGAAAGCGTTCTTGCAGGACTCCCATCAAAATTATTTGGATTCATCTTCAATGCCTCCTCCATCTTACCTCAGACATGCTCAAGAATTTTCATGTCTAGTGACTGGGCTAACTAATCCTGGAGCAGCTTGACATTCTTTGCTTTCAGGAACTTTGATGTGGAGACTGAAATACGAGAAGGAGCACTATCCTGCTGAAGAATTTGCCTTCTCCTGTAGTTTGTAGTGTAATGGGCAGCACAAAAGTCTTGATACCTCTGGCTGTTGATCTTGCCATCCACTCTGCAGATCTCTCGCACGCCCACATATTGAATGTAACCCCAAACCATGATTTTCCCTTCACCGAACTTGACTGATTTCTCTGAGACGCTTGGGTCCATGCGGGTTCCAATAGGTATTCTGCAGTATTTGTGAGGAATGGGATGCAGTCCAACAGATGATTAATCAGAGAAATCTACCTTCTGACACTTTTCAAACTGATAAACTAGAAGTCAAGTTATTATTTGTTGCTCTTACAACTGAGATAGACAACAAGACTTTTGTCAGGTAGTATATAAAAGATATCACACCCAATTTATAATGCACAGATTATAAGTGTGTTGAATAAGTTTTTTAAACAAAAAAGAGAGAAACTGTTTAATATATACACAGTGTATGATGCAGAGAAACAGAAGAAAAAACAAAAGAAGATATTTTGAAGAATGTCTTAAATAGACAAAGGACACGGACTCCCAGAGTTCATCATGATTCTTAAGATTAATCTTCAGTGCCTCTTTCTTCATCTTACCCCAGACATGCTCAATAATATTTATGTCCAGTGACTGGGCTGACCAATCCTGGATCACCTTGACCTTTCTTTTAGCATTATTTTTTTAGGAAGAAGAAAAGAAGATATTTTGATGTTTTAGATTGTGTATGTTCAAACTGACATTCTAGTAGAAAAACATACTGGGAAAATCCGTGGCTACCAACATTCTTCAAAATAAAACTTTTGTGTTCAACAAAGAAACGCAAGTGGAGATGTAACTGCGTGGCTGAACTATCCCTTTAAGGTGCAGCAAATTTTACAATTGTTCTGTTGAAATTTGAGGGCTGATTCAAGTCATTTGAATAATTTATGCATTAAAGAAGTTCCCTAGTCAGATTTCACTCTCGTTCCGGCTTCAAATCATTGTATTGGACTCAATTAAGTGTGTGTTGTTCACAATACCTTGATTCCATGCTCTGTTGAAATACTTGATTCTGATTGGCTGAAAGTTGTGCAATGAAATTTTTTATTGAACAGGTAATATCAAAAAGTTTTGATCGCAGTCAGAAATAAATACACTACCCTTAATCATTAGTAGTAACCATAGTAACAGTTTCCAGAGCCTTCATTCATCTGTGTAATCTTGAAGATGCCGATAGATCAACCAGGGAGCCGATGGGGATCAACCAACTCGCAAATATAAAAAAAAATTAGTAAAATGGTAGCTACCACGTTACTAAAAGCTT